AATCCCTAACGTTCTGTGATTCTGTGAGTTACTGTACTATATAGTTAAAGTTCTGATGGGGAAACTAGCTTTCATTTATCATCCTTACTCTTAATGTTCTTGTAATTTGCAGATTAGATACTGGTGGAGCTTGTTCCTTTGCAGACTGAGAGCTCAGATGAAAATTTTTATTGTACTGTGGCTGTACTGTCTGTCTATGCATAAATTAACAAATGCTCCTTTTCTGTGGCTTGCAGTAGAAAACCAGAAGTGGCAGCATCACTGAGAATTTAAATACATGTGGAATGTTCATCTGCTCCTTAACATATTAGGTGCTCCATATATCCATGGCTGTGGTCATCTTGGTGATGGTTGTTGTTTGCCCTGCAGAACTTGTAATGTTTAAAGGAAAATCTTCTCTGTTTGCCTTGGTAAATTAAATTTCATTGCATCTTTTTTGAGGATTTGGTTTGAGTGGAGTATTAGGTGGGTATTAGCCTCAGTGCAGAACAGATCAATCATTTGAGAGTTGTCCTTGTCTGAACTATATTTGATTATTTTAAAGTGGCTGACTTTTGGCTGTAGAAAGAGCAAATAAGCAATAGGCTACAATTGGGCAGAAAAAATGCTGTCAAAATTACTTTATCCTTGGGACATTTCAAGTCTCAGAGAGAGGATCTTTTTCAAATGGAATTAGCGTAGAGAATATGCTTTTGTGCATACAATCAAGGTTACACTGCTGTGTGATGTTACAGAACGTGAAGTGGGTGACAAGTCAGGCTTATGCGATACACTGTCAGTGAAACTGGTTTTGGTGGGAAATAACCTTTTGTTTGTGAGGGAAGTTCCTGTGTTGAAAATAGCTGTAGCTTGATTCATTGTCTCCCAAGGCTGGCCTAGGATTAACAGCCTTTACTAGTTCAAGAGCAAATTGAGTGGACATCCAGTATTTAAGCTACCAATCTGGTATTTATGAATTCCATTTTCTTTTCATTGGAAAGGTGATATGGTTCAGGTGAAAGGTGTTTTCTGATATTCCTTCATAGGAATAGCATTTGGGGCTTCTTGCTTACAGCAGAGCATGCCTGGAGTGTTTTTGTTGAAGTGCTTGGTTTAACATCACAAGCTAATGCGATTCAGGAATAGTCTCATTTTATTCTGTTTTTTTATGCCTAAATTGTGCCCATCTTCAGTCAAGCAGAAGTTGGGAGATGATGAAAGAAATAGTTAGCATTTCTTTCTCAGGAACAATAGCAGCAGTGGTTGGTGCTTCTGTTGGAGGAAGGAAGAATGTGCCTGCTAAGGAGAATAAGGAGGTGTTGCTAATCAGGCTTGTGACACACATCCACACTCATCACGCTCATACAATTCACTCATGCAGTTTGTCAGCAGAAATTCCTTTGTGTGGCATTGGTACTATTAGTTCTTCCCCTACAACTTGAAACACAACAGTATCTGAAAAGTGCTGATGTTTTCATATAATTTAAGAATTATGGTTTAAGGACTGCTGTAAATGATCTACACCCTAGTTTCTTCTTCTCAAATCTAAAATGAAATTTCCATTGAACCATTGCCTTGATACCTTTTCTTGACAAAGTTCTGACCAAAAAAAGTATGTCTAGGTAGACTTTTGCTTTATTTGAGACTTCTATGCAGAATGTTGAAGTTACAATACAGTAAATAAAGGAAACAAGTTCCTATTTCAAGGTAATATTCTTCAGTGTATAGTAAAATCCACATCTTATAATTCTACTGAAGAAGAGTTTTGTGAACAGCTCAGTCATCAGGTTAGTACTATATATTGATTCAGAGAGATTATAGATACATGCAGGGGAAAACACTGGTTGTTTAGCTATGAACTACTTGGAGTAGTTAAACTTTTCTGCTGTTAATGAATGCAGAACTTTTCTGTACTTGTGCTATTTGATAAAAATGCAGTGAACCCTATGCTAAGTTTATCTTGAAAACTATGAATCTGTTAATTACAGAAATAAACAGGTTTCACCTATTTCACCAGTTTTAGTGCTGCACTGGGATTCTGATCAGCCAAGCTCAGAACAGGAGGTTTTCGTTTATGTCTTCTGCAACAGAGAAGAAAACATTGTTAACATTTTAACATTTGATGCCAAAGACATTTTAATGCTGTATTACTGTCACAAAAGTGGCACACCAAAGTTTCAGAGCGCTCATGTAGG